CAAAGATGCTGCCGCCGTCTCGTTGATGCCAAAGAAGCCTGTTGACCTGGGGAACCTGTTGCGGTCACCCATTGGGACCACCAGGAAGCAGACAGGTCATCCTAGCCCCTGGACGAGATGGGATTTATAGTTTTCTTCACGGACCCCGATACCCAACACTTGCAATGACTCCTATGTGAACCCAATGGACTCAGAAAAACACTCCCCCTTGACTTCATGGATTCTGTGAAATTTTATTGGACTTTGGCCAACTTTTGACAAACTTTTAAAACATTTAGAAGCTTCCCGCTCCATGCCTCATGAACTTCCACTATAATTTTTAGGCTTTCAATGGACTTTTGGTGGGTGGGATGGGTTGATATGATTTCTCTTCCCTCTTTTATGAATGTATACCTTATGAACCCCATACATGTCTGTATAAAATATGAAATGTCACCTTTTTGTGAACTCAGCCACACATGGGCTCCTGACTTCCTCTTCCCTCCTGGGCCAGATAAACCCCCAAACAATTTGGACTCAACAGAAACTCTTACATGAACAATAGGACAATGGGCACAATCTTTCAGAGTTTGCCCATCTGGAGGATGTGCCCGATGGCAAATTCAATCATTCTTCACCACAGGGGACGTCCTGCCTAAGGAGGGTATTGATGTCCCCACAGCCTCCTTCTTTTTTGACATTCCTAGGGCCGATATCAGAAGTCAGATATTATCAATAGAACCATATCTCCGACCCAAGGATTTCAAAGGGTCTGACTTTCGGGTCAGACAAAGACGTATATTCCAAACACTCAACACAACAGAAGCAGCCTGCTTGAGGACTTAAAAAGTTATTGCCGGCGATTGTATAAACATTAAGTCACCTAATCCACTCATCTTTTCCTCCTGGTTCATTGTGTCCTGCTTGGACTGCCTCCTTGTTCCCCATTGGCTGAGAGGCCGAAGCGGCGCTGGCTTGCCCATTGGTTGAGGTGCGCCTAAGCCGGCCGCACCTCCCCTCCAGCTAATGACCCCAACCAATCAGCGTGAAGCTGGCTAAGGGGGGTGGGAGTGGGAAATTTGAATTTGACAGCTCTGTTTCTCTATAAAAATGTACTGCTCTGCCTTGCACAACATGGCAAGGGATTGCAGCTTGACATCCATACCAGCTGGAATGAAATAAAGACAACTCGGTGGCATTTTCTTCAACTTGGTAAGACTTTTATTGGGAAAAATCAGGGAAAATTCTTTGGTGCTTCTTTCAATCTTGCCAAGGCTGAAATGAACTCTCTTTGGTGGGCCTGGTTGGTCTCTGCCTCCTGGCAAAGACCCCTAAATTCTTGCTCGATATCACACTTCAGTGCATTTTAAAACATGATACATCTTTATCTGTATATTGCATTACCTCGAATCCTGCCAATCAACTGCAACTCTAACCAAATGAATTATTAGTATTGAACCATGGTGGTTAAAGTAGTGTCAAACTGCATGAATTTGACAGTGTAGATGCCCCCTTTGGCAGGTGAAGCTGCAAAGTCAACTGCATAATGTCTCAAGAAGGGGATGTACATGAACCTGATGTGCAGTTGCCCGTGCAAATCAAGAGTTAGCTTTAGATCCTTTGTGGTTTGGCCTATAAAAGAGGTATGGCGAACACACACTCCTCGAAATAGCGTGATAGAACTCAGCCGGTCTGGCATCTTAGCAGCAGAGGGCAGCCAGGAGCATCTCTGAATCATTCACAGGAAAGCGAGAAGCCTTGGAAGTTTTCCACGCTCAAATGTGTTTGCGTGCAAGGGCCACCTTTTCAAAACGCCCCATGTTGGCAGACCGGCTGCCAGGCAAGCTGATGACTCATGGCGTCCGGTGCCAAAGTAACTCACGCCGCCCCAAGGAGGATTGGGCTCCCACAGCAGAGCCTCCTGGTGCCAACTTTTAACTTCTCTGCTTTCAGAGGTCGCACCCTCCTGACGGGCCAGATTGGGAGCCCGAGGTACTTCCAAATCTTCAGACATGTGCCCACCACGCACCATTTTTTATTTTATTTATTTATTTAGAGTACTTCTACCCCGCCCTTCTCAACCCCCGAGGGGGGACTCAGGGCGGCTTACAAAAAGGCACAATCCGATGCCTACACAAATTACACATACGTACAAAACAGGAGTTAAAACAATTGTCACAGTTAAAACAGTCGGTATATAACACAATCAATAAAACTATCAATCTCATGCTCAGCGTTCGTCTTTCAGAGTTCCATAATTCCATTCCACTTAGTCAATTCCTGTCCATCATCAAAGTCCTTTCTTTATCTGCCAGATTGTCCGAATACCTGGTCCCAAATCCATGTTTTCAATTTTTTCCTAAAGGAAAGGAGTGATGTCGCTGATCTAATTTCCCCGGGGAGTGAATTCCACAGGTGAGGGGCCACCACTGAGAAGGCCCTGCTCCTCGTCATCTTGGAAAGAAGTGACTACTTGGGTGCCCTAAAGAGAGTTTGGTCCTGGGCCGAGTTCTGTTTAACATCTTTATTAATGGTTTGGACGAAGGTTGAGAGGGCAGGTTGATCAAGTTTGCAGATGACACCAAACTGGGAGGGAGAGCTAATACTCTAGAAGACAGGATCAGAATTCAAAACAACCTCAACAGATGAGAGACCTGATTGGCCAAAACTTAACAAAATGAATTTCAACAAGCACAAATGTAAGATATGACGATTAGGCAGTAAAAATGAAATGCAACTATACAAGATGGCTGATGCCTGGCTCAACAACAGAGTCACATGTGAAAAAGATCTTAGAGCCTTTGTGGACAACAAAGTTGAACATGATAACCATCACCATCACTTTATGTATATACCACCCCCTCTCCGCAAAAGGACTCAGGGCTACTTACAGCAGAAAAAACACAATACAGATAATGATAAACATACAACCAAATCAAACAATGAACTCGCACAATAATTAAAACATATAAACAGCATAACATATTAATACAATTCAGAAGGGCCATCAATGTGATGCAGCAGCTAAAAAAGCCAATGGGACTTTGGCCTGCATCAGAAAAAGTCTAGTGTCCAGGTTGAGGGAAGTCATGTGGTTTCTCTATTCTGCTTTGGTCAGACCTCTTTATCTGTAATAACCCTGTGTCCAGTTCTGGGCACCACAATTCAAGAGGGATATTGACTTTAAGCTGGAAGGTTTCCACAAGAGAGTGACTAAAATAATCCAAGGTCTGGAAACCGTGAATCCTTCTGAGGAGGAGTGTCTTAGAGCTGGGTCTGTTCAGCCTGCAGAAGGCTAAGATGAGACAGGAGGGCCATGTACAAACATATGAAAAGGTGTCCTAAGGAAGGAGAAGGCTTGTTTTTTTTTTTGCTGTCCTGAAAACTAGGACTCAGATCAATGGGTTCAAATTACAGGAAACAAGATTCCACTGAACATTAGGAAGAATTTCCTGACTTTAAGAAGAGATGTTCAGCAGTGGAACTCACTGCCTCATAGTCTGATGAATGCTCTTTCCATTAAGACTTTGAAACAGAGGCTGGATGGCCATCTGTCAGGGATGCTTTCATTGTGCTTTTCCTGCATGGCAGAATGAGATTGGATTGGATGGCCCATGGGGTCTCTTCCAACTCTATGATTCTAGGTTCAAACCTTCCCCGTGGATTTGATTCATTATTTTTCATTAAAACCAAAATGTTAGGCAGAAGTGATATTATTTCACGCTGATAGAACCAGCCTGGGTGGGTGTAAGCACCCCTCTCTGTGAGAAGAAAGCAAAAGGGGATCTTTCTCTCAGAAGAGGTTTCTTGGGGTGTCAGTCGCAGCAGAAACACTACAGCTAGAGCCTACAGTGCCAGATGAGCCAATCTTGCTGGGCCGAGGCTTCTGTAGGCTTTGGGTTATAGTTCATTGAAGGCACATGATGTGGGCGCCACAGAAGAACTGTGAGGCCTTGAAGAAGCGACAAAGGCATTTTTTTAAAAAAAAATCATTTGTGATGAGAACGTATTTCAAATTGAAAATTGTGAGAATTGAAGAATGTGCCAGACAAATTAAACCCACTGAAACCCTGGCAAAATATTGTCTTAAATATATACAAGAAAAAAACTACTCGAAAGCATTAACTATGGTGAGGTATTAACTATACGAGAGGATGCTACTAAATCTACTAGGCCCTGTTATTGAGACCTAGCTTATTGCACAACGTTCCCTCGGCAACAGCAAGAGTATCCCTGTGGGCAGCAAAATCAGGCAATCCCAAATGGATGCCCCCCCCCCCCTCCATGAGGGTCTTCCTCCAGGGGCAAGTCTTATACTTATTATTTATGCAATGCTTTTGATGCGAAAGATATAAAACTATGGTGAGCATTTACAATGATTACTGTGCCCACCTCAAAGTCCGAGCCAAGTTCACATCAATCACACCCAGAGGCAGGCCTGGGCCCACTTGGGCCCTCCCTCCAGCGGTTTTGGACTTCAACTCGGTTATCGGCTGTTAGGAATTGTGGGAGTTAAAATCCAAAACCCTGAAGGGAGGGCCCAAGTGAGCCCAGGCCTGGCTCGAGTTTGCCGCCTAGCCCTTTGTGACCTTGGCCTCGGGCTCCCGCCGTCACAATGCTGCCAGGTCCGAGGCCTCGCAGCGGTAGAAACAACCCAACAGGCCCCGCCAGCGCCGCCTCCCGGCGCTCTCGCCTCGCCCAAGGTGACCTGGAGGCGGAAGACTACAACTCCTGGCCATGGCCAACCCTCCTCTCGCGGCCAACAAGCCGAGAAAGCCGCCTTCGGACTGCCGCGTGGAATGCCGGGAGGCCGAGTCCAGGCGTAGGTCCCAGGCGCATGCGCATCCGCATGCTCCGGCTCAGGCGTGCGGCGAAGGGCAAAGAGGTAGGACGGGAGAAAGAAGGGCGGGGGATCGTATGCAAATCGGAAACCGAGGCAACCAATTGGGGCGAGAGAACGAGAGAGAGGGAGGGATGGGGAGGGGGCGGGGCGCGTGTCCCGGATGTGGGGTTCTTCTCACCGGCGAAGGGGCGGAGTCGACCCGACGGCGCGCGCGCAACGGGGTCTCTTTCTCTTCCCAAAGGCGCCGGCGGAACAGAGCTGAGGAGGCAGCGGAGCCGAGGAGGAGGCGGCGCCGCCGTCAACAACAACAACAGTAACAGTAGCAACAGCAGCCCGCTTGGGAGCCGGAACAGCAACGAGCGAGGCAGCGGGCCCGTCCCGCCCCGGAACGAAAGATGGCGGCCCGGCCCCAGCACCAGCCTGAGCAGCGGCGGAAGCAACAGAGACGTCGGCTGTGAGAAGGCGGCGGGCCAAAGCCAAGGGCAAGAAAGCCGGTGCTCCTGCTGCCACTGGCGGAGGGAGAGGGAGCAGCAGCCGAGCCCACCGAGGAGGCAGGAAGGGCCGGGCCAGGCCGAGGTGGGCGAGGGGCGCTGCCCTCAGGGAGGGGAGGAAAGGAAAGCGAGAGAGGCCTCTCCGCCTCGCCAAGGCGCCTGAGGCAGGGCAGGCCCAGGCCATGAGGGCCCCCCTGGAGGAGGCCAGGCCTTAAGCCTTGCTGCCCTTTGAACTCCCAACTGAAGGCCTTCCTTTGGGGAGACTGGGCCCTTCCCTGAGGGGAGCCCCTGCCCTGCAGCCTTGCTCAAACTGTCTCCTGCTCTCGCTCTCCCCCTCCCCCTCGTGTCTTGCAGGCGGTGGGCTGCTGGGCCCCCCGGGGCGCCATGTTCTCGGTACTCTCCTACGGGCGGCTGGTGGCTCGGGCTGTGCTAGGCGGCCTCTCACAGACCGACTCCCGGGACTACAGCCTGGTCACCGCCAGCTGCGGCTTCGGCAAGGACTTCCGCAAGGGCATCCTCAAGAAGGGCATGTGCTACGGGGACGATGCCTGCTTCGTGGCTCGGCACCGCTCCGCCGACGTGCTGGGTGAGTGAGTGCGCTCAGAGTGGGACGGGCCCCCCGTGGACCCCCCCAGCCTCAGCTTCAAAGCCTCTACCACACTCCCAGGCAAAGAGTTCCACCATTCAACAATGCTGAAGTTGGGCTGCTGTGAGTTTTCCAGGTTGTCTGGCCATGTTCCAGAAGCACTATCTCCTGATGTTTCGCCCATGTCTACGACAGGCATCCTCAGAGCCCCCAGTGGTGCAATGGATCCCTTGTGCTGGCAGGACTGAAGACTGACAGGTTGGAGGTTCGAATCCAGGGAGAGCGCAAATGAACTCCTGCTGTCATTAATAGCTCCCCATGCAGGGACATGAGAGAAGCCCCCCACAAGGATGGTAAAACATCCAGGCATCCCCTGGGCAACGTCCTTGCAGACAGCCAGTTCTCTTCACTTCACTTTATTTCTTAATTAATCGCTCTCCCCCAAGGTGCTCCGAGCGACTTACAATTTAAAATAGCATTTACACAATATAAAAACATTCAACATAAAAACATTCAACAGTGACTATTTGGCAAATTAGATCTGATCACTTTACTTAAATGCACAACCAAACAGCCAAGTCTTGAGCGCCTTTACAAAAGGTCGCAACACCGACATTGCTCTAATATATGGAGTTCCACAGAATTGGAGCAAAGATTGAAAAAGTTCTACGCCTTGTAGCTTCCAGGTGTACCTCCCTAGGGCCCGGTATGTATAGGAGATTTTCTTGGGTGGATCGAGGTAACCACTGATGGGAAAAAGGAATGAGGCGATCCCTAAGATATAAAGGTCCTTGGCCATTCCTCTCAAACCAGAAGCGACTTGCAGTTTCTCAAGTCGCTCCTGACATGAAAAAAACTCCAGAATCAGGATAGTAAATAAAGAGCAACACTAAAAAAACAGAGGAATTCCAGACAGGAAACAATCAGGGCCAGCTAACACCTCCCAACCCAGGATTCCCCCAGGCAGGAAGCAGCCAGGCTTTGAAGCTGAAAGGCCGTTCATTGCTAATCAAGGTGACCAATTGCAACATTCACACTTGCCTTCAACATGCAAGAGTTCTTTCTCCTACCCTGGACATTGTTCCACAAGGATATATATAGCCCCACTTGCCAAGTTTCCAACAGACCTCACAATACCAGAGGATGCCTGCCATAGATGTGAGCAAAACATCAGGAGAGAATGCTTCTGGAACATGGCCAGACAGCCCAGAAAACTCACAGCAACCCAGACATTCTGGCCATGAAAGCCTTTGGCAATACAGTCCTTGAAGTTCTTCCTCACATTCAGGTGAAACCTCCTTCCCTGTCACCCTAGCCCAAGCACAGGCCAACTTGGGCCCTCCAAGTTTTTTGGACTGTAACTCCCACAATTCCTAACTGTTAGGAACTGTGAAAGTTGAAGTTCAGAACACCTGGAGGAGGGCCCAAGTTGGCCCATGCCTGATCTAGACACTAGACTCCAGGGCAGCAGAAAGCAACCCCAGCTCCTTCTGTATGACAAACTTTCAAATATTTCAAACATGGCTCTCACAACTCTTCTCGGCTATTTTTTTTCTGAGCCGGTTTTGTTCTAGAATTACAGCCACAGGTAGGAACAGAAAGGGCCTACCTGGAGGCACCCCCATCTCTACTGCCATGACAATGCAGGTGGAACTGCATTCTGTGAGGCCATTTTCAGTCTGCATTCTCATGGCAGTGGAGAATGGGGCCTTCGAGAGTCAACAAATACATTGGAATCAATTCCATGGCAGGTTCCCAAACAGATCTTGTTTGCCCTCCATTCTTCAGGGCATGTTGCTTTATTCATCAACAAAGTCCCTCAGGAGATCACCTGTGGATATGCCTTGGCTGCCAGGCTAAGAAAACCCAGCATTGGGATCTAAATTGACACTCTTTGATGCCTTCCCCTGCCCCATGAGACAGAGCCAGTGATTGAGGGCAACCTCATGTCCTTGTCAGGTGAAAAACAAAATGACATTGAAAGCATTTTCAAATGCCCTTCCTACACCCACTTGACTGGTTTCAAGCTCTGCTGCCACTCGAGGGTGCAGTGCTGCTGTGTTGTGTCAGATGTCACAGGAGGCAAAGGGAGAGCCCTTCCCTGGCCATCCCTTGGACAGGATGCGGCCTTTGAAAGGCCCCTTTTGAGGGAAGCTTCAGGCAGCAAGCCTTGGTGTTGTGACAGCCATTGACATAGCTTTGCAGCCCCAATCGCTATTGTTTAAACACATTTCTGTGTGTTACCATTCCAACTCGGAGATTGCTCTTGGAGCTGAGGCATGTTCTGTTAATGGCAATTAGAAACTTAGTGTTGCCATGGTAGCGTCATGCCTGTTTATAATGAGTGAACATTTGGGGGGGGGGGAGAGAACCCGATAGCTTGAAAGCGTAGCTAGTGTACATTTAAGGGAATGCTCCCAGATATGAGGGGTGGTGTCACTTGGAGTACTGAGTGTAAGCAAAAAAAAAAAAAAAAAAAACCCAACCCAGAACAAACTTTTCCCTGCAATGTAGCTTATCTTTTTCTGTCTTTGTTCTTGAGCTTTCGCCCTCTGCCAGTGAAAGGTAGTGTTTGCTGTCTGTTCATGAATGACCCCAGTTGTTTGATCCTTTTTTCAAAGAAAGATCCTTTTGTAAAAGAAGGACGCTGTTGACAGAGACAAGGCTTGCACAATTATCCCACAAGATATAAGCATATGCACAATGGAAAGGGAGAGAACTATGGATGTAATCCAAGTATGGTACTACCCGGTTCTGCACTACGCTTTAGTATGTGTAAGGAATATTTTCTCTCTGGCACACCTCTACTTGTGCTCAGTACTTCAGGGATGGGGAAACCTTGACTTTCCAGATGTTTTGCCTTCTATCAGTCTCACCCAGTATAGGGGTTTTGGGAGTTGAAGTGCAGATCATCTGAAGGGCGAAAGCCTCTCCACTCCTGCCATCTTGAACTGCAACAGTAATTCTGGAATTGCTGCTGCTTTGGTATTGTGACAATGGCATAAGAAACAAGTCATTGTGTAGCACTGCATGGAGGGGATTTTTCAAGTTCTAGATTCTGTAGTTACTGTGTTGCTTTTATGGCAAACTCGTGTAGCTTTTTTTAGATGTATCTGGTCAGGCATCTCTTAAGGATCTGAAGCTACACTGAATCCAGAGTCAGAGCAATAAGGGCCTGTGTTACATTGAATTAGACTGTTAGTCTGTTCAGCATGGCATTTCCCACTGATTGGCAACTGACTTGGTCTTTCTGTCAAGTGGGGAAGTGAAGGGATGGTTTCCAGTGCTTCAGGGTGTAATTGTTGTGGACTGGCAGTCATTGCTTGACATGTCAGATATCCACCTCTTTATATTCTTATTTATTTATTACCCTCCTTCTTGGCCAAGATTGATTTGGAAAGCATCTTACACAAAAATCCACAGGAAGGTATAATTTAGTATATTTTGACAGGGGTGATGGTGGCAAGTCAGTTTCTTTCCTTCCTTGCTGATATAATCCCAAGTCTCTTTCTTCTGAAAAAGCTGTAAGTGAACTCAGGATGGAGGATGGTAAAGAGCCAACCTCTTGCTGTTTTGTGTCTAATACATCATCAATTCTAAAGAGACAATTCTCTGCCCAACTTCCTCCTCTTTAAGGTATTTTCTGTGAACTACAGGGTGGTTGACCTTGTCCCCTGCACATTTGACAGCCATATTGTTTCTTTTCAGTGCCCCTTCTTTTTTTCCTTTTTGTTCTTTTCATTAAGCCTTCTGTGGCTCCATCATTACCTTGTTCAGGATTATATACACACTATCAAATAGAACTTCCAGACCCTGGACAGATCTTCAAGACCTCTTGCTAATCTTGGCAGAGTGGGGTTTTTTTTTATAAGCAAAGATTTACACTGCCTTCAGTTAAAGGTTGAGCTTAGTGTATTTGATTTTCCACATGGTTTTTGGTATTAGTCATTTGGGGGACTGAGCATGCCAAGATGTCCTTGGCTTGCCCTCTGGAGAACTTGTGTGGGATGGATGCGGGTGTGGAGGAGCCACCGGGGCCACTCCTCTCTGTTGGGGAAACAAATTGGCCCAACTTCCAAGTCACTCCCTGTTTGACCAGCACTGAAGAGCGTATGACCTTTCTTGCTTGCGCAATCTGGGAAATGCACCTTGGCACAGACTTTTGGCAGTATGTCCTTCGCAGACCTTGTAGGGCTAATAGGGCAATCCTTCGTGCTTCTCTGGGACTCCATGGGGCTTAATTTGGAGCAGGCTTGCTTAGGAGGCTTAATTTGGAGCAGGCTTGCTTAGGGTTGGACATAAGATTATGAGCAATTGAACCAGGAAGTCCCCATTTCAGATCTCACAGCTTTCTCACTAGCCACATTGTCATAGGCCAGCCATTCTTCTCTCACCCTCAGTGCCCTGTGTGCAGGTGGAAGTGGCAGCAGTGGCCATTCTTGCAGGGAAAAAACCCAGTGCTGAATATAAATGGATCATATTTGCAAGTGTGTGGATTGTTTTGATTGCTTATATTTGTTCATACGTTTAGCTTATTCCTGACATCTGATACATAGATGAGAATCAGAAAGCCCTCTAGATGTTGTTGAACTGCACATTTCTGTGGCCCTAGACGCAGCGCTCAGGAGGAGGGATGCTGGAATTTACAGTTCCCCAACATCTGCAGAGTCATATGACTCCCCACTCTATAAGGACTGCATTTCTCAGGCAAAGAGGAAAGTTAGGCAATCACAGGGAAGGTTCCAATAACACTGAAAAAGGTAGGACACAAGGCTCTCCCCAAAACTTTCCCTCGGTGTTTTTCCAAACTCTTATCAGTGGGAAAATATTTATCAAATATTGTGTCTACAGTCTTGGGTCAATTATTCCACGCTTTCTCTGCAGGTCATGCAGGGTGCACACTATACAAACCCATGTACATACGCTTGGAGTTTGTCTTCTTTACTGTAACTTACAATCCTACAATACATCTTTTAAGTAAGATGACATTCCAAACGTGTTTGTCATTTTCAAGAGCCAGAAAGCAATGTCAAAAAAGGTCATTCTATGAAAAGATCAAGGAAGTGTTTGTTGATAGATGAGAGAATAGTTTTGTGTGTAGTACTTGGTAAACAACTAATTTTTTTAACAGGTACACACACCCTCGTAATCCTTTTTGTGCCTTCTGCTATTTTCATGATGCTGAAAGTCGTTCCCAGGTCAAATGTCCTTCGGTAGCCAAGTCTCAAAGGTGACTGCCAGAAGTTCTGGCAAGCAGATATTTAAAAAATGTCATAACATCTTATTTTATCCATTTATATCCTTTCAGTCAGAGCACAACCTCACCTGACCTCCTCCCTGTAGATGCTTGTTCTGGACTTCTGGACCTTGTTTGTCCTTGAATTCTACTTGCGCTCCACTTGAGGATGGATGTATTTTATTTCAGAGAAGATATATTTTAGGAGTGTGTCTGGGTTTTCCTTCCACTGTTAATTCTTGACCGTTCAGGAGGTCTCTAGGTTTCATATGCTTGGATCTCTCTCCCATATCATCCTGAAGCTAGATGCTGATGCATTTCTTCTTAGACATTCTGCCTGTGTTTCAGAACCTCTCCTCCAAGTCTTAATTTTAGCTTTATCTAAAACAAATCTGCCATTTGTTTTTTAAAAAGGTAAATCTCACTAGTGGAAACAAGCCTTTCAACTTGCTGGCAAATTGAAAATTTTTTGGTTAGGCTGAATGACAGTCGGCAAAGAGCTAAGCAATTATTCTTTTTGGATCAAAGGAGGTTAGGTGCCTAAGAGTCTCGTTTGAGCCTCCCGCTGCACAACCCTTTTTCTATCCTGCCCTTGGGAGTGCAGGAAAGGTAGCTCCACATAGTGAAGCCCTCCATGGGAAATATTTTGAAACACTTTATGGTGGAAGAGCTCAGGGTTACAAGTAGAGGCAGATTGCTTGCGGCACTACTTGCAGAACTGTAAAAGGCACTTTTGGCAGTACTGGGCTTAATACTGACTTGTGAAGGCCCTGCATTAAAAAAACCATATTTGCTTGAGTCCGATGCACTATTGGAACTATTGAGTACCTCAGTTTTCAAAAGCCTGAAACCAAAAGAAGTATTTGCTGCCAAATGTCATGCGCAAAAAGGAGCCAAAAGTGCCCTCTTTGTCATTTGGTCAAAAAAGCTACACATTACAGTTACTGCTTGTTTAGAACTCTTTCTTTCAGCACAAAAGCGTTAGAACACCAAAACTTCTAGCAATGGAAACCAAAACCCTGGAGTATGTTTTTGCTGTAGAATGAATGCACTTTAATTGCATTAGTTCAGTGCTATGGAGTCATAGCATTGAGGGATGTAGTTCTACAAGGTCTTGAACCTTCCCTGCCAAAGAATGCTGATGCTGCACCAAACTACAAATTGCAGGATCTCGTAGCATTGAGCCAGGACAATTAAATTAGAGGTAACGTCCCTCAAATAGGAGTTCCAGGTCTTTTTGAAGCAGCTTCCCCTTTTGTTTTGGCTCAGCACTAAGATTACTGTATGACAGATATCTGATGCACACCCTCATTTGGGTATGGGAATTTAGCCAAAAAGGTGAGCATTAGATTTGAGTAAATGGGGCAACTGTCTTCCCTTTCATAGAGGATGGTAGGCAGGTGCCCTGATCTCTGATCCTTGGCAGATACAGAAATGGGTGGGCACATGGTCTTGCTGACAAACGTCTCATTGGCACACATTTTGGTTTGTGGCTGGCTAGAGAGAAGGTGAGCAACATTGCCTTTGATAAATAGCTTGCATGAATGGGAATGTAAACTGTATACCAGACCTTCTGGATGCTGTAGGGGGTGGGCTGGGGAGGCCCAACAGTATGCCAATGCCAGAATTTGCCTGCTGCCCATGGCCACCTTAGCCACTTTGAGGAACCTGCAGCCTTTCCTTTGAGCTCCCCAGGTGTTGTGTGCTGCCTTGGTTGTTTGTCTTCATGTGAGGAGGCTTCAGGAAAAGGGCCAGAGCAGCAGCTATTGATGCAAAAAAAGCATGTTACCAGGCAGGAGCTCTGGGGATTTTACGCCCAGCTTTGTGACTGGAAAAATCCCCAGTTCAAATCCATAATGGCTACTTCTGCTGAAGAGACAATGCCATGCTGCCCTTTAGCAACGATAGTTTTCCTGCTTTAGAAGTGTGAGTGAGTGAATGTGAAATGCACCAGAGAAATGAAACAAAAGATTTTCCGTTTCCTTTGAGGCACTTGCTTTGTGCTCCCCCTCCTCTCTGTCTCTCGGCTGCCCTTTGCCCATCTGCTGGGCCCCAGCTCCTTTCAACCACAAGACCCACATTGTCTTCAGCTGCACAGTCTCTTCTTCCTCCTCCTCTTGAGTGCATTCAGGTGCACTTCCTGAAGCAGAAGGAAGGAGTGGTGCTTCTTGCCACTCAGGCTTTCCCATTGTGTGCTAGCTCTTCGGTTGCACAAGGTGACGGTAATACTATTTGTCTTTCCTTGTGGCAATGGCAGTTGAACAATTGGTGTCTCGGAGTCTGTGGACTATTTTTGGGTGAAATCTGATTAATGCTGATGTCAGAGTCTGGCTGTAATATGTTGACAGATTACATAGTTCACGCCAAGGTCAGGGTTGAACCCTCCATCTCCATTTCAGTTGGCATCCCAAGTGAAGGGCAGCCAGAAGATTAACAAATTTCCCTTTATGCACTAGATTAATTTTCATTTCTTGGACAGAGGTTAGCAGCTTTCTGTTCCAAGGCAGGTCTGTCCTGGGGAGACTTTCCGATCTGTGGAAAAGTGACTCATACTGCATTCTGAATAATTATCATGATCTGGTCTCTTTCTGTAAAATATCATTTCGTGTAGCCCAAAGAGTAGCTCCTGAAACACATGTTATAAAAAGACTGCCAGGATTCCTTTATCAGGTACCTGAATGATATCTCTGAGAATACTGCTTGATAATCTTGCACTGAAGCAGCCCTGGGGAAAAAAAATGTTAAGTCAAGATTGCCCCAATGGTGGCAAAAGATAATGCTTGGACAATTTCCTAAAAAAGAGTAGTGACAGTTCTGATGTTAACAGTACTAGGCCACAGAGTTTAGGAAAAATTAGTGCTTTCTTCTATCTCCAGAGACACTGTCTAGCCCTTTATTTTTAACTTGTTTCATGTATTTTAATATGTGTATGTTTAAATATGTGCTTTTATGGCTGTATTTTAACTGTTTTGTGCCCTGCCTTGAGCCATAAGGAGAGGCAGGTAATAAATTATGTTAATGAGGCGTTTGCAGTCAGTAATGATGGGGTGCCTCGATGCTTCTTCCTGTAGTAGGGAGATTGGTTTAGGAAGCCTCCCTAAGAAATATGTGTAGCCAGTGAGCCTAATTAAACTTCAACCAGCTTTTCACTTGTATATAAATGCCCTCCTTTGTATTTACACGGAGGAATTTATTCATGCTAAAAATACATTCTCTCTCTCTCTCGCTCTTTTTTCTTTAGGTGTAGCAGATGGTGTTGGTGGCTGGCGGGACTACGGCGTTGACCCTTCTCAGTTCTCAGGGACACTCATGCGCACTTGTGAACGCTTGGTCAAAGAAGGACGATTTGTACCGAGCAACCCTGTTGGGATTCTCACCACAAGCTACTGCGAGCTGCTGCAGAACAAAGTCCCTTTGCTTGGTAAGCTCAGCCGGCCTCCCCTTCCACTCTCTCCTCTCAGTCCTTTTTCCTCCTTGGTCAGCCTTGCTTATGTTAGTCTTGAGAGCTATGGGCAGAATGTAAGACGCCAGTTCGTCTCTCGCCAAATTCAGTGTTTGGGCTGGGCAGGCTGGGTTCTCTAAGGGTCAGCCCACTTCCCTCCATTTGCAGTACTTGGATGACATGAACCATAAAAGGGTTAGTTCATATTGCAATCTGTCAGGATGCTTCAAGTTTTTATTGTGCATTGCTTCGTGATTTATTAAAATGAAAAATTGTATATAAACATTGGTAAGCTATAAGAAAAACATGAAGACAATGTTGGTTTACTTGCTTTTTTAAGACCAATGACAAGCTTGCAAAGTAATAAGCAAGCTTCTCAATTATCCAGAATTCCTCAGGCTACAGAACAAGAAGATGTCCCTGAGCGTGATGCAAAGCTTCAGTTTGCAGTTGGTAATAGCCTTAAGATGGTTTGGCTGAGAGTACCTTTGGAAGCCTTTTGAATGCTCTTAAGCACTGGATAAACCCATTATCCTTGACACATTCACCTTCCGTCATATGCTTCCAAAATGGAATGTTATTTTAGGGAATGGGGAACTTTGGTAAATAAGGGGAGATGATTCTATTGAAGTTGTGACTTGACATCCCTTAGGGAACTGGTTCCACACGCAGGCTGATGTGTGTGCTTTTGGGAAAGTCAGCTTTGAATTTAAAACATGAAGCATCTGTTTATGGAGTTTCAGTTCTTTGTTGCATGTACTTACACGAACTCCCTTAGTTCCTTATGCTGTAGTGCCTTCGCAATATGGAACTGGTACTGTGGAAAGCCCCATGCATCACCAGTGTTTACTTTGGAGGAGCCCCTGGTGGTGCAATGGGTTAAACCCTTGTGCCTTCAGGACTGAAGGCCGACAGGTCGGAGGTTCGAATCTGGGGAGAGCGCAAATGAGCTCCCTATCAGCTCCGGCTCCCCATGTGGGGACATGAGAGAAGCCTCCCACAAGGATGGTAAAACATCAAAATATCCAGGCGTCCCATGGGCAATACTGTTTTTTTTACTGTTTTTTATTGTTTTAATTAATATTCTATTTATTGTTTTAATTGTTGTTATATTGCTTTGTTATATGTAGTGGCATCGAATTGTTGCCAAATGTAAGCTGTCCTGAGTCCCCCTTCAGAGGTTGAGAAGGAACGGGGTAGAAATACCGGAAATAAACAATAATAAAATAATGTCCTTGCAGACAGCCAATTCTCTCACACCAGAAGTGACTTGCAGTTTCTCAAGTCGCTCCTGACACACACACACACACACACACACACACTTTGGAGGTTCATGCAGCTCTCTTTCAAGTTGTAAGGGGCTGTTGGGGGGGGGGTCAGACATGTAGCATCAACATGGTGTAATGACTGCTTAAGGTAAAGGAGTCATGCTCTTTTCGAGGGCGCAAATCATTCAAGGGTACTCCTCTGTGGCACCTTGGCCAGCTCAAGTCTTCTTTGAGGGCTTTGGGGATATTTTTGCAGACCGTAGGACTTCCAAGAACACTTCTAATTCCTTCTTTTGGCTACCATTGCATTTGAATGCAGCTTCTGAACCTGCTGTTGCAAGGGGTCGTCCTGGTGTGTGCGCGCGCACATCAAAATTTGGCTGGGCTAGGTCCCTCTTAGGAATCAGCTGAGTGAGTGGAAAGCAGCAACCTTTCGCACAATCAGTGTCAGTGGCTTGTCCTGCCGCACATGCTTCTCACCTGACCTTCGCTTCTCTGCCAGGAGGTTCCTCTAAATAGGGAAGTTATATTTGGCGAACCTCTGCGGAGCTCAGAAAGAGTTGGCTCTTTTTCCTTACCCACCTAAAGGATGACTATCAGCTGCCAAATTTTCCCTTCGGTGTCAGTTCGAACAGTGCACCTTAAATTGTCACTTGTGTCCCAATTACGTCAGGACTGTGCTCCTGCAAAGACCAAAACTAAACTGAAGGCTGAATGTCTTTTTACTGGAAAGTGAGTCTGATTTATCTTGATTTTCTCAGTTGACAGGAGCCATATGGGCCTGGTGCTCAATATATAGCTAATGGGAATTTTGGTATATGGAGTGCTTTGGGTTAGCTAAAGACTTAGATTTCTTCCTGTCTCAGATTTTTTTTCTTTATTTTAGCTGCAGTCTTCCCCTTCCAGCTCTTAGAACCTCCCCTTATCCTGAATCTTTTCAGCAACACCAATGCAGGAGCTAGTGTGTCACAGTGAGCCACTTGTTCCCAATGCCCCTTTTGCATGACCATGCTTAAGAAAAAGGCATGCTTTGACAGGTATCATTGCTGCTGTGCAGCCCGAACATGACTGTCCACCACCACATCTCATTCAAAAGTGGCCAAGAAAGAATAATCCACAGTAGCTGGTTATTAATGTTCAGAATAATGGTTCTCCTTTTTAAGAGGCCCAGTGCACTGGCTTTACAAAAGAGCTTTTTAGGCTCAAAAGAAGGAAGGAGTCACATGTTTAGCAGCAATCACTGGTTAGTGAGAAAGCAAATAGACAAGCTAAAGAGGTTCTGATGGTGTTGCCAGCATCTCTGCCATCTTCTACTCAGGAGGAAGGGAATTTGTGTCATCAGGAAACAGTGTAAAACAGCGGTCCAGATGGCAGTCTGTACACAACTTTGGAGGCAGCCCTCTAAGAAATGTGTTTGTTGTTGGTATGCCTTCATGTCCATCCTGACCTATGATGAACCCAAGGTAAACCTATCCTAGGGTTTTCTTGGCGAGATTTGTTTCAGGGGATGCTTTTGCCTAGAGGGCACTGTGCCTTGCCCCAGGCCAGCCAGTGGGCTTCCATGGCTGAGTCAAGATTCCAACCCTGGTCTCCCAGATCTCCTCGATTAAAAAGAAAAGCAGGGTCCATTTCTGTTTTCTACTGCCTTACAACAAATCCGATCTTATTTCCAGGGAGCAGCACAGCTTGCATTGTAGTGCTGGATCGGACAAGTCATCGCCTACACACCGCAAACCTGGGGGATTCAGGATTTCTTGTTGTCAGGGGTGGAGAAGTAGTGCACCGATCAGATGAGCAACAACACTACTTCAACACTCCCTTCCAATTGTCGATAGCCCCGCCAGAAGCTGAAGGGGTTGTCTTCAGTGACAGGTGAGACTTTTGGGGGGACATGGTTGTGTAGAGTGGGTAGGATTTTGCTCTGTGTTGGCAATTCCATCTTGGCCCTGTCCTGCTGCAGTAGAGTGAACCAAAATTGCAAATTGTTCTTTTATACTCAGAGACCATGTTGTGGCACGTCAGTGTGGTTTTGTTTTTTCTTTTAAGTTTACCTTTGATTAATACAGTGGTTAGTAGGTAGAAAGGGATTCCTTCCTTACAGGAGAGGCTGCACTTGTATATAATATATACAATATTATATACAAATATTATATACATATAGTATAATAACTTGTCTGATTTGTGGCATGGACCTCATCTGTCCTTTGTTCTTACACATTCTGAAACCTGGCTTTACGAAAGCAAATGTACTGCATCGTGCAGATAGAGTTTGTCACAACTTTTTTGTGGTGGGGTCTGCTTTGACTTTTCTGTTTGAAATTTTTTTTTGAGGGCCTCAAATAACAAATGAAACATTTCCCTCCTTACTTGCCAAGAGAAACTGCTGCTAGATGTTGCCACTGGAAATATTGAGTTGGCGTGAGGGAATTTCCTTGGCTTGAAAATGAAACTGAGTTCCTTTTTGGCTGGTTTAGAGCCTGCATCACGGACTGGCTGAGTGTCAGGACCGAGCGTTAACATTTGTTATGGCGGCTTGTGACCAGAGCTTGTCGGGATGCTGGGGGCTGTTGGTCCAAGAAGGAGTTCTATGTTTGAGTCAGCTCACCAGCAAATGTATCCAACTGAGTTGACCTTTAGCCTGTGTCCCTGTTTGACTTTCAGGGTGAAACCAGTGGTGACTGTCAGGCCCTCAGTTCATTTCAAGAACTTCCTTTTTTGCTCATGGATCCGAATTGGGAATCTGCTAATTTTGCATGCTCAGGCAGTGAGGTCGCAAATACTTGAAGAATAGAGAGGGAAGCATGTGACTGCAGCTTGTATTTCAGCACAGTTTCCAGCAGTGCATCGTGCCCTGTCAAAATGATCAAAACTCTTTGGCGGAACACCAAGCCCCACGGTGGAGGGTTGGAAAAGCACATTCTGTCCAATGGGGAGTGACAGCCTGAAAAGAGTATGCTTCTTGGGGACCTGGAGCAGGGTTTCTCTTCCAACCCTTCCTCCCCCTCCCCCCAAACTCCTTTGGGGCAAGGTGTTCTGAAGCCAATCTGTATTTATTTCATGATAATAAGCAAATAAAAATAATATCCCCACGATTGTTGCATCTAATGAGACATGCCTGTCTCCTTTTGTGCTGAAATCCATCCCTGTGAGGTAGAGTGTGGGACTTGATCATACTTTTTCCATCCCTGAAACCCATGGCTGTTTTTAAGAAACCAGAGCTTACCAGAAGGCCATTTTAAGTCCCCCAAATTCTACTCTAAGTGGAATAAGTTAGAGATTCATGTATCTTGGATGCCCCTGAAAGCGTGACTCACAGTCTCAATTCAATGATTGCCCCTGGAGCCCACAACAAATAATTGCATTATATTTAAAAAAGAAAACCATACTGAGCAGGGTTTTGCTAAAGCTATAGTCTAACAAAGACAAGGAAAAACAGACTGTGAGACAGCTTTTATTCTAGAACTGTAACTATATTGAACTCCATGGTATCGCATTGATGTGGCATTGGGGGCTGTGTGGTGGTGAAATGTGGAAGGAGGAGTGTGTTGTTTTGTGATGTGTGCTGGGGAAAACATTTAATTTTATTGTACAGTGACAATAAAGTTATTCTATTCTGAGAGCAAGTCCCAGTGCTCCTAGGTAAAAAGAGCACTGGATTGCAACTTTCCGAAACCTGTGTTCCATTGGGCTTATTCCTGACATGACAGGAACCAGGTGGCATGGTCAGTCTCTGCAGTAGGAAGTGAGCAGCTTGCAATGTTCTTCAATCTTCCAAGTTGAACTTTGACCAAATGCCCATTGGAACACTCTGTTGTTGTTGTTTTCACAGCCCAGATGCAGCAGACAGTACTACCTTTGACGTCCAGCTGGGAGACATCATTCTGACAGCCACAGATGGACTCTTTGACAACATGCCCGACTACATGATCCTCCAGGAGCTGAAGAAGCTCAAGGTAACCAGGAATACCTTATTCAGGCTTGTAGCTTGATAGACAGAGCAGTAGGAACCATTTGCATAGACAGTATGGCTACAGCACCTTATGGGTGTTACCGTGTTCTCTTTGCAACAGTCCTCTCACATATATGAATAATAAGATTCTTTGGAATTTACAATACTTAACATTTGAACTAGAAAAGGAGAAAGTAAGCATTTCCAGCTGACTTTGGTCCCTGTTCTGAGGAAAAATATCAGTTGTTCCATTTTCTTCATGCACGTGTGACATGAGCAACATTTTACAAATTAACATGCTTTGTTTTGCATATTTCCATTCAGAATTCAAATTACGAAAGCATACAGCAGACAGCAAGAAGCATTGCTGAGCAAGCTCACGAACTGGCATATGATCCCAACTACATGTCTCCCTTTGCACAGTTTGCATGTGACAATGGATTGAATGTAAGAGGTAAGGATTCCACTAGTCCTGCTGGAAGCATGGCAGTTGATCCCATGGTCTTAGGGCAGCATTTGCTTCACAGTTTTGAAACAGCAAGTCATCTGATGGGCCAGAATGAAATGGTGGCTAGTAATTGGAGTGGCAAAGTCATGTGCCATCTGATTTCAAAGGTGCTGCAAATGTGGTGTTTGTAATGGCTCCTGTATTGCAGGATAGCAGGATGCATTTAGTATATAATATTCCTCTTGGCAAATGAGAGAAAGAGAGAAGTGGAGGTCTTATTGTGGTGTCCTGAATTTTCAGAAGTGTCCCTGTCAGAATTCAAGTGAGAACTCTGAAGTTTCCCATGGCATTTTTATGGAGAGTTTTTTGATTTCTCTTCTCCCTTCCTTTTCTTGGATTGTGGTTTTGGTAGTTTTGTGCTCAACTAAAGAACCTCTCCCATCTTACTGTGCAGGTGGAAAGCCAGACGACATCACCGTCCTCCTTTCAATAGTCGCCGAATACACAGACTGATGGGCTGACAGCCTCCACTTGTGACTTGGGTGTTTCCTCCCGTTCCAGCTTCATTCATACTGTTTCCTGCTGGCAGGATGTTTTTCTCTGCAACTGATCTCAGTGGCTCTTCCATGTTCCATCCGTTGCCTGTTTGAAGATGCAGTCAAAACCCTCCATCCTTAGAGAAACCGGGACACATCTGCCAGCAAGAAATGAAAAATTTCAATACTTGAAGCTTGTCTTTTTAGAGTTCAGTAGTCATTATTACGTAGTGATGGGGAAGGGATTAATAATCATGATTATGGCTCCGAAGTAAGTGAGCAGATTAAATAGAAATTGGCCATTTGTCATTCAGGGCTAGGTAATGCTGTTGAACGTCAACAAAGGGAACCTCTGTGAGGACACCGTCACCTTGCTAGACAAAGGCCCCTTTTGCATCTGCAAGGGGCCACAAAGCATCATGTCACTAGCATAGTTCATGAAACTGTCTTTGAGGCTTGTTTTTATACAGATTCATCAATAGCTTCCAAGTGCACTCAGCCTCTGAGTCGATGTGGGATTTGCCCAGGAACGTTGTCTGTTACTAAATTGTGAATCACAGGATTAGTTTGTGAAATGTGTTGTGCATGTGAGCGAATGAATGTGAGCGAGTGCAATGGTGCTTCCTGTTCTCATGCAGATGGACGTTTAGCATATCATTTCTTCCTGCAGGGCTCTCAACTAGCGAGATGCTTTCCTTCCAGAAAGGAACATTCGAAGGGTCTTTTCTCTCGTCATGAAGTCTGATGAAGCCAGGGTGCTAAGAAGTTGGGCTGGCTTTCCATGATGTAGTTCCTAGGGATGATGGGGTGCGTTTTGGTGGTGGGTCCTAGGTTTTGAATGGTCCCATTTGAGTTTCAGGAACCTCAGTGTCTTGAAAAACATGCCTCTGCTTGTACTCCCACAACAAGAATAATTGTACCCATGCAAAATGGAATGAGCTGCGTTGACTTTGTAGTAGGGGGCATATAGGATTTCCAGAACGAACTTCAATGATGTTTACAGATATCTAATAGCCATTTTGCAATAGAGCTTTTCTTTTCATTGACACTCAGTCCAGTTTCTTCAGTAGCTACAACCTTCCCTTCCCTCCCCTTCTTTTCTTTTCTTTTTTAAAGAAATCTTCATGTAAAAACAGCTGTAAAGATATATATATTTTTGGTCAGTTTTTCATAACTTTTTTGCTGGTAGAAAAGAACTTAGAATTGAAAAGCCATGTTTTATATAGCAGTTGGTTAATGTCAATGCCTAGATGATGAGCTTGGCCAGTATAGAAACCTTCCTTTTTTAAAACCACGAAAGGGGGGAATTACTGTCAAGTTTATTGTATTAAAACTGTACGTTTGAGGTTACCTCAGCCTGTTTTAAATATTTTTGTGGTTGTACTGTATATTTGCATAATTGTGTCAAGCTTTTATTTATAATTATGTAACATGTACCATGTACATGTCACTATTTCAATGCATCCTGCTTCTAATTGTCATTTCATTGACCACGAAAATGGGCAAAAATAATCAAGTTGGGAGCTCATGAATCTACCTTTCTTTGTAAAAATTGGCACAACAAATTTTCTTAAATCACCTTTGGGTTGTTGTTGTTACTGTCAGAATGCCTTAACCATTGAGCTTCACAAAATTGATCCTTTTTTTGGTGTGGAGACAGGGTGGAATCAGACAAAATAAAGAAAAAAATCATAGTGCTAGGATTCAAAAATGTGGCAAACAAGAACTTTGCACAAAGCATTTCAATCCTTTGTGTTATTTTCCACCTAACCAGTTGTACCTGTGTATATCCACTTAGAAGGAATGTATTAATGCTGCAGTACCTACATTGAAGTTTCTGTTTTGCCAGAAGAGCAGTTACCCTTCCTTTGAACTTCCATTATATTTTTTTATTAGCCAGTGTTCACTGTTGCAGTTCCTTGTTTGACTAGGCCCCTTTCCATTGTTCGGACTGCACCTTCCAGTTGCACCAGATCCCTTTGGCCTCAGACGGCCTCGGACTTGGTGCCTCCATTGAGCAGGACTACTTTCCTTCTGCTTTGGGGTCTCTTCCAGCCTTTTCAGGGACAGAGAGGAAGGGGCTTCCTGGCAGGCTTTGGGGGCCATGGCCTGGTCTCCTTTGTCCTGTGCAGAGTCCCTGATCTTGGGCCCTCCCCAAGGAGCCGAACTGCAATGCTTGGTGGAGTTTCCGCCGTGGCCTTGCTTCCCTTCCAGTGGTTTCTAGTCAGGCCATTTGTCTCTTCCCACATTTTTCTTTAACAATGATCAAAATTGAGTCTTTCAACTTGCAGATAATTCAGTCCCCTTTCTCCCATCACTGGACACCAAAGACCAGTTACAACTGATAGCTTTTTACCATCTATTTTTAAAGCAATACTGTACGATACAGGATTAATCTTTCTATTGCATGCTTGACTTTTTTGTTTTTCCACATGAAGATGTGCACTCGAACAGAACAGAACCAGATTTCTTCCTAAAAACTTTTTTAAAAAGCTGTCTGCGCACAAATCTTTTTTTTTTTTTACAAAAGGAGAAAGTCAGGACTTCTGTATTTGTTAAAAACCCTTTCCCCAGTGCTCAAAATCAGAAACATGCTTCCTTGGAACTCCAATGGTGTGGTATAGAGAAGCCATTCCGTGTTGTGTTCTCTTAAACTGGGAAAGGGGGGGGGGGGAGGCTGGCGAGAAATCAAACATTGGAATTGCTTTATAGCGAATCTGAAAAAAAGAGCTTCCATAGAGTTTGCTTAAAAGTAATTCTGCCGCAGTTGCAGGACTTCCCTGCTGGGGATGGTTGCTGTTGGTTGCAAGTACAGCAAGGAAGATCAATGTGATTATCCCAGTATGAATGACAGGGATTGAGGTCCATGGTTCCTTGTAATTTTAACTGTCATTGGGAGACTTGCACTGAGTAGAGTACCACAAACCAAATGCCCTGTGTGTCCCCTGCCTTTTTGCCCCTCTGAGGGTCAGGAACCCTCTAAATCTGGCAATAAGGTGGGGCTTCTGGGGCTCCAAGCAATGAGCAAGGGCTACTGCCTCTGCTGGATCCCAGTCCCTGCTGCCTAGGGAAGGCGCTCTTCTGTTTTGGGGGGAATTCTGGGCCCAAGCACCCTTTTCCTTTGCAGAGTTGCAGCTTCCACGGCAAAGACTCAAATAGGAAAAAGCAGCCTCACTCTAGGACTAGACAACACGGTCCCATAAAAACAAAGCCACTGTGATTGGAATTGGGATTTGGATAGTGGGCTGCTTTTTCCATAGGAAAAATTGGATTCAAGGTAGATATGTTTTTTTTTTACATACATACACACACACACACATATATGAATGATTTATCTGGCAAAGATAGCTGATCTAATGAGGATGCTATTTTTCTTGTTAAATGAGACTATCAGTACCTGTGCTTATCGAAAAGCCAATTATGTGAATTGGATGTCTGAAGCATAATTTTTTGTGAGAATGGTATCTGTAAATACATTTAAATGAACTAAAGATATTTAATAAATATAGTATTTATACAACTTGTGCATGGCTTCTTTCATAAAATATTTTTCTCATGGCTGCAGCTACTACTGGTTCCATTTTACTGTTAAATTTTTATGAACATATCTAAGCTTTGAGTCATATGTATGAAGTTGAGTGTAGCCAGGAGGGGGTTTTCCAAGGATATTATGCTCTTGTGTTGCTAACAAGCGGTTTCCAGCAAGCCATTGCTTAAGGGAGGAGAATTCATTTCATGCGGTCCAAGTAGGAAAGGCATAAGAGGAATGTCCCACTAATTATACACAAAATGTTTGGATTCTAGTATCTCTCAAGTTCTTCAAAACAGTGGTATAAACGGCCATTCCCTTTCAGATGCCAAATGGAATGGAAACATGATGCTTAGTGATCTCTTCTAGATGCTGTGTGTATATAAAAAGCAAGTTTTATAAAAACATGCTTTTGCCCATGCAGAAACCCTCTTCCCACTAGGGAATGTGTCCAGAAGTCCCTGTGGGAATCCACATGTGGAAAGGTCCTGCGATGAGGCCTAGCAAGGCCAGGAACATACCTAGCAACATTTGCAACCGGTAATGAGGAATTTGGCAGAAAGGGGAAAGTGCTTGTTATTTTTCTTGCAAAAGGTTTGTGAAAGAGTCATTCTTCTGGCATGCAGTAAACAGAAACCTGCTACATAAATGACCTGCTTTCTACTAGCTGGTCTGTTTCACTGCACTGAAATTTCAGTGGCAATTCAGTGTCCATTCTTCTTCTCTGTAGGGTTGAAAAGTTGCTTTTAAATAAAATCAGCCCTGGGAGCAGCATGGTGCTCGCTGTCCTTTGTCAGGTTGCTGAGGGGAACTACTTGTTATCGGGACTGAAATAACCGCATGCTTCCTGGCTCCACTCTTCAAGCTATCTCAGACTCTGTACCCTTTCTAAAACATTCTAACTCATTGCAGTATCCCAAGATCCATAGAATCACAGAGGTGGAAGAGACCCTAGGAGCCATCCAGTCCAACCCCCTTCAGCCAGGAAAGAAGTCACAATCCAAGTCCTTCCAACAGGCAGATATCCAGCCTCAGAGAAGGTTCATGGAGGGAAATATGACTATAGAATCACAAAGTGGGAAGAGACCACCAAGAGCCATCCAGTCTAACCCCCGTCTGCCGTGTAGGAAGACACCATCCAAGCCCTGCCGAGAAATGGACATCCAGCCTATGTTTAATGGCATCCGGGGAAGGAGCTTCCACCACACTCCGAAACAGAGTTCAACTGCTGAAGTGCTCTTCATACAGTCAGGAAGTTCTTCCTAATGTTCAGGTGGAATCTCCTTTCTTGTACTTTAAACCCATGGCTCAATTGAGTCCTAGTCTGCAGGGCAGCAGAAATCAAGTCTCTCCCTCTTCCTTTCACATATGTATACATGGCTCTCATGTCTCCTCTCAACCTTCTCTTTTGCAGGCTAAACAGACTCAACTCTTTAAGCCACTCCTCAGAGGGATTCATAGTTACACGCCTTGTGGTGGCCTTCCTCTGGACCCCTTCCAGCTTAGAGTCCATCTCCTTCTTAAATTGCTTTGCCCAGAATTGGACACAGGGTTATTATTCCAGGTGAAGCATGACCAATGCAAAAGAGAGGGGCACACTGACTTCCCTTGATCTAGACCAGGCATGGGCAAACTTCGGTCCCTTCTCTAGGTGTTTTGGACTTTAACTCCCACAATTCCTAACAGCTGGTAGGCTGTTAGGAATAGTGGGAGTTGAAGTTCAAAACACCCGGAGGACCAAAGTTGGCCCAGGCCTGAGCTATACTATTTTTGATGAAGTCCAAAATTTCTTTGATTTGTTTAGCTGCAGCATCACATTGTTAGCTCATGTTTGTCTTGTGGTCTGCTAAGACTCCCAAGATCTCGCATGCTACAACTTGTGGTGTTTTTCAATACATTAAAGGTAGACATATTTCATCTAATTGTACAAAACTTCATTTTAAAGAAGAGTTGGGGGGGGGGGGGGGAGAACTGGATCTGTGCCTTTTCAACATGTAACCATTTACCCTCCAACTTCTCCAGCCCCAAAAGAATTCCCCCAAGATATTAAGGTAAGTGCAGATACGGCAAGATAAAAATGAATTGAAGTGGATATGACCTGATATGCCTAAAATTTTAATAAGTACCTTTGAATTTGAACAATTTGAAGATGGATTTTTCCCCCAAAAATTAACTGTCTTAAGATAAAAATGACACCCAACAGTATAAACATAGGGTTTGTTGTAGGTTTTTTCGGGCTATATGGCCATGGTCTAGAGGCAATATCTCCTGAGTTTTGCCTGCATCTATGGCAAGCATCCTCAGAGGTAGTGAGATCTGTTGGAACTAGGCGAAAGGGTTTATATATCTGTGGAATGACCAGGGTGAGACAAAGGACTCTTGTCTGCTGGAGCTAGGTGTGAATGTTTCAACTGACCACCTTGATGAGCATACAATGGCCTGACAGTGCCTAGAGCAAACTTTTGTTGAGAGGTGATTAGATGTCCTTGTTTGTTTCCTCTCTGTTGTTGTGCTGTTGTAATTTTAGAGTTTTTTTTAGTACTGGTAGCCAGATTTTGTTCATTTTCATGGTTTCCTCCTTTCTGTTGAAATTGTCCACATGCTTGTGTATTTCAATGGCTTCTCTGTGTAGTCTGACATGGTGTTGTGAGAGTGGTCCAGCATTTCTGTGTTCTCAAATAAAATGCTGTGTCCAGGTTGGTTCATCAGGTGCTCTGCTATGGCTGACTTCTCTGGTTGAAGTAGTCTGCAGTGCCTTTCATGTTCCTTGATTCGTGTTTGGGCAATGCTGCGTTTGGTGGTCCCTATGTTGACTTGTCCACAGCTGCATGGTACATGGTAGACTCCTGCAGAAGCGAGAGGATCCCTCTTGTCCTTTGCTGAACGAAGCATTTGTTGGATTTTCTTGGTGGGTCTGTAGATAGTTTGTATGTTGTGTTTCCTCATCAGCTTCCCTATGCGGCCAGTGGTTCCCTTGATTATGGCAAGGACACTTTTCCTCTGGGTGGATCTTCGTCTTTATTCTCGTGGCTTGTTCTCGGTCTTGCAGCTCTTCTGATGTCTGAGGTGGAGTATCCATTGGCCTGTAGAGCCCAGTTTAGGTGGTTCAGTTCATCTTGGAGGAGGTGGGGTTCGCAGATTCTTTTTGCACGGTCTGCCAAGGCTTTGATGGTGCTTCTTTTTTGACTTGGGTGATGGTTGGAGTTTTTATGTAGATATCTATCTGTGTGTGTGGGTTTTCTGTAAACGGTGTGACCCAATTGTTGATCTGGTTTGCGGATGACTAGGACATCTAGAAAAGGCAGTTTTCCTTCATTTTCTTTTTCCATGCTGAACAGGATGTTTGGGTGTATGCTGTTAAGATGGTCCAGGAACCTGTTGAGTTCTTCTTCTCCATGGCTCCAAATGGTGAAAGTGTCATCCACATATCTGAACCATATAGTAGGCTTTTTTGTTGTGTTTCCAGGGCTTGTTTTTCAAAGTGTTCCATGTAGAAGTTAGCTATGACCGGGCTGAGAGGGCTCCCCATAGCTACTCCATCTTTCTGTTCGTAGAATTCATTGTCCCACTGAAAGTAACTGGTGGTGAGGCAATGGTGAAACAGAGCCGTGATGTCTTCTGGGAAATTCTGGTTGATTAGTGTGATGGTGTCTGCTACCAGGACCTTGTTAAATAGAGACACCACATCGAAGCTGATCAGTTTGTCATTGGTATTTAGCTTGAGATTGCTGATTTTTTCTATGAAGTGGGCTGAGTCCTTGATGTAGTGTGTAGTGAGCCCAATATGGCTTTGTAACTGTGCAGCAAGAAATTTTGCTAAGTCGTACGTGGGGGATCCAATGGCACTCACGATGGGTCTGAGTGGGGTGGAGTCCTTATGGATTTTTGAGAGTCCATAAAGCCTGGGTGGATGGGCTTCCGATTTACATAGCTGTTATCGTATGTCAAAGTTGATTGAGAAGTTCTTAATCAGAGTGTTGGTTTTTCTGGTTATTTTGGAAGTTGGGTCTTGCTTAAGTTTTCTCTATATAGTAGGATCCAGGAGTTTTCTGATCTTCTCCTTGTATTGTTATGTATGTATGCCGCTGTGTCAGCCTCAATTCAGATCCTGATATCCTCATTCTGCCAGCAGACAAGGGGAATGCCACAATACAAGAAGATCAGAAAACTCCTGGACCCTACTATATACAGAAAACTTAAGCAAGACCCAACTTCCAAAATAACCAGAAAAACCAACACTCTGATTAAGAACTCCTCAATCAACTTCGACATACGACAACAGCTATGTAAATCGGAAGCCCTTCCACCTAGGCTTTATGGACTCCCAAAAATCCATAAGGACTCCACTCCACTCAGACCCATCGTGAGTGCCATTGGATCCCCCACATACGACTTAGCAAAATTTCTTGCTGCACAGTTACAAAGCCATATTTGGCTAACTACACACTACATCAAGTACTCAGCCCACTTCATTGAAAAAATCAGCAATCTCAAGCTAAATACCAACGACAAACTGATCAGCTTCGATGTGGTATCTCTATTTACCATGGTCCTGGTAGCAGACACCATGGCACTCATCAACCAGAGGTTCCCAGAAGACATCACGGCTCTGTTTCACCATTGCCTCACCACCAGTTACTTTCAGTGGGACAATGAATTCTACGAACAGAAAGATGGAGTAGCTATGGGGAGCCCTCTCAGCCCGGTCATAGCTAACTTCTACATGGAACACTTTGAAGAACAAGCTCTGGAAACAGCAATCTTGTTGTTCAGATATGGTTCAGATATGTGGATGACACCTTCACCATTTGGAGCCATGGAGAAGAAGAACTCAACAGGTTCCTGGACCATCTCAACAGCATCCACCCAAACATCCAGTTCACTATGGAAAAAGAAAAGGAAGGAAGACTGCCTTTTCTAGATGTCCTCGTCATCCGCAAACCAGATCAACAATTGGGTCACACTGTCTACAGAAAACCCACACACACAGATAGATATCTACATAAAAACTCCAACCATCACCCAAGTCAAAAAAGAAGCACCATTAAAGCCTTGGCAGACCGTGCAAAAAGAATCTGCGAACCCCACCTCCTCCAAGATGAACTGAACCACCTCAACTGGGCTCTACAGGCCAATGGATACTCCACCTCAGACATCAGAAGAGCTGCAAGACCGAGAACAAGCCACGAGAGTCAAGACAAGATCCACCCAGAGAAAAGTGTTCTTGCCATACATCAAGGGAACCACTGACCGCATAGGGAAGCTGATGAGGAAACACAATATACAAACAATCTACAGACCCACCAAGAAAATCCAACAAATGCTACGTTCAGCAAAAGACAAGAGGGATCCTCTCACTTCTGCAGGAGTCTACCATATACCATGCAGCTGTGGACAAGTCTACATAGGGACCACCAAACGCAGCATTGCCCAAACACGAATCAAGGAACATGAAAGGCACTGCAGACTACTTCAACCAGAGAAGTCAGCCATAGCAGAGCGCCTGATGAACCAACCTGGACACAGCATATTATTTGAGAACACAGAAATGCTGGACCACTCTCACAACCACCATGTCAGACTACACAGAGAAGCCATTGAAATCCACAAGCATGTGGACAATTTCAACAGAAAGGAGGAAACCATGAAAATGAACAAAATCTGGCTACCAGTACTAAAAAAACTCTAAAATTACAACAGCACAACAACAGAGAGGAAACAAACAAGGACATCTAATCACCTCTCAACAAAAGTTTGCTCTAGGCACTGTCAGGCCATTGTATGCTCATCAAGGTGGTCAGTTGAAACATTCACACCTAGCTCCAGCAGACAAGAGTCCTTTGTCTCACCATGGTCATTCCACAGATATATAAACTCTTTTTCCTAGTTCCAACAGACCTCACTACCTCTGAGGATGCTTGCCATAGATGCAGGCGAAACGTCAGGAGAGAATGCCTCTAGACCATGGCCATATAGCCCGAAAAAACCTACAACAACCCAGTGATTCCGGCCATGAAAGCCTTCGACAGTATAAACATACATTACAACCCAACAAATCAGGATATTAAGCACACACTTATTTAAAAGACAAGGGCTTGGGCATCTGGCCTCACTAAAATGCTGGAGAGAGTTGCCCATTGCCAAAGTCATCTTCAGTGTCGCTGGCCGTGGCCAAACTGTGGACCACATGGGCTCCATCTTGCTCACTCGGTGAAATGGCTCCGAAGAAGAAAGAATGAAACTAGAAAACACAGGAAAAGAAGTTAGTGACAAAAACCTCGGTCCCACCTCTGAAGGAGCACATGGCATCTGGTGTTTTTTCCATCCCATCTGGGCATCTCTTAGCAAAAGTGCTAGGGAGATCTAGTGAATTCCTAAGAGGTTCAATTAATTTATTCAAAGCAAATACATTGCTTATTTGGACTGCCTTCATTTGGCAGTCCAAATATGAAATGTGCTGGCTTCATCTGGCTTTGTATTTACGGTAATTGGCTCTCAACAAAATTTAAATACGGAATAATGTGTTTTAATGGTTTTGAATGTGTTTTAATTATTTTTAACTGGGATTTTAAAAAATATTTGTTATAAGAATAACAATAATGATAATAATAATAATGTGTTGCCGAAAGCTTTCATGGCCGGTTGCTGTGAGTTTTCTGGGATGTATGGCATGTTGCAGAAGCATTATCTCCTGACGTTTTCCCCACATCTATGGCAGGCATCCTCAGAACATGGCCATACATCTTAGAACACTCACAGCAACCCAATATTATTATTATTATTATTATTATTATTATTATTATTATTAATAATAATGCTTTACCCTGTTTCCCCGAAAATAAGACAGTGTCTTATATTAAATTTTGCTCCGAAAGATGCGCTGTGACTTATTTTCAGGGGATGTCTTATTTTTCCATGAAGAAGAATTCACATTTATTGTTGAACAAAAAAACCCATTTATTATTATAATAATAACTTTATTTTTATACCCCACCTCCATCTCCCCGGAGGGACTTGGGGCGGCTTATATGGGGCCAAGCCCAATCAACAGAGTTTAAACATAACACATTAAAATGCATAACATCAATAAAAGCAACATTTAAACAACATTATATTCTCTACAGTAGTTGTCAGTTTATCATAAATATACTGGCCCTCACAAACAGGGCCATAGAAAGTAAGGACTGTAAAGTACCTGGCTCCCACACACTTTCTGGCAACTGTAACGATCTCCCACAGGAGTTCCTGGACCTCTTGTACTGTAGGGATGGTACTGCAGCTTCTGGCCACCAGGGGAAGCATGCTTCCAAACAAAAACTTTACTAGCTCTTACTTTCGGGGAGGCCTTGTACTTTGCAATTCAGCAAAACCTGGAAGGACTAGCATTGACCATCTGAACTTGCTGCCATCCGACTGTCCATCTCCATTTCCAGTTAAGACTGGCGATAGAGTTTTCCCCCTTGGAGCCTGCACTGGCTGAGGAGCTCCTTTGGACCGGTGACCACCTACTTCAGCCGGCGGGGTTGCCTGCAGCAGCTAGAGGCCAACTGGGTGAGCTGCAATACCTACGACGACTGGTGGTGCTGTACTATTGGGGCTGTGACAGTGTGCTCCATCTGCAGTTAAGAACTTCTTGTGCAGTCCTCCAAGGCCCCCCAATGTGCGGTGGTGGCTACGGGCTTGCTATCCATCCTGGCTTGATTGTGGTGTAATTGTGAAGCTGCTTTTTTACTGCTTACTGTTTGTTTGAGACCAGTCGCCAGTTGCCAACTGTCATTATAGACACCCTCGGCTTGCCAAGGGTCAGTTGCCCTTCTATCCACCCAACAAACAGGAACATATTCCAACCTCCAGTAGTACAACCGTACTCCATCCTGGGCAGTGGCTCTAGGGGTGTTATTGTGTGTTTGGTGCTACTGTTCCACCTATGTGCAGAGAAGACTGTCAACAGCTGCAGATTGACTGAAGGCATCAGTAGAGGAACTATATGGCTCCCTCCTGGAGCCCGAGGTCCTGCTGCAAATATCTCTCTAGCTACTGTGATTTGCACGTGGCACCTTTTCCTATGCCCCTACTTAATGTCAATTACACTGCCAATCTGCCGATTTCTTGCCAATAGTCTAATCCCCATTGCACTGTTATGAAAGATGACTTGTTAGCACTCCAGCACTTTAATTAACGGCGAGATCTCTGTTAGTTACTAATGTCAATGGTGCTATTGTGCGGTCACTTTAATTTTGCATTTGCACTTTACATCGTGTATTATATAATCACTCCCAACAATGGTCGAATGGCCGGGGAAAATTGGAGATGGTTTTATAAGGCAGAGGAATTGAACTACAATAATGGCAGAAATGATGGTTTAACAACTGCCAGGGCTATTGGCATATCATATAACAGCGCACTAGTGAACTACCAGGATGTGGAGAATGATAGAGGGGGGAGGGAAGGAGGGAGTTGCGGTGCTTGGGGGGCCCCCATCGAGGTGATGATGGGGAGGGGGAGATACGGGAAAGGGAGAGTTAAAAAACCAATTCGGCCAATTCGTGAGCAAACCTTAAGAAAAATTCCAAAATGTCCTCCCGACATGGTAAACTTGGGTTCCAAGGTAGACGGTCCTCCCGGATTAAAGGTGGTGCTGTTGAACGCCAGGTCTGTCAATGGTAAAACATCAACCATTCAGGATTTAATCCTGGATGAAAAGGCAGACCTGGCGTGCATCACGGAGACCTGGTTGGACGAGGCTGGAGGGGTTAATCTCACCCAGCTTTGCCCACCAGGTTATGCCGTGCAACACCAACCGAGATCCGGGGGGCGGGGAGGCGGAGTTGCAATAGTCTATAAAGATTCCATCTCCTTGGTCAGGGGCCCGGCCTTACAGTCGACCTTGTTTGAATGTGTCCACCTGAGGCTAGGAGACCGGGACAGAATAGGGCTGTTGTTGGTGTACCGACCACCCCGCTGCACCACGGCCGCCCTACCTGAGCTTGCAGAGTTGGTCTCGGGCCTGGCATTGGAGTCCCGGCGGCTTGTAGTGCTGGGGGACTTCAATGTCCATGCAGAGACCACTCTTTCAGGAGCGGCTCAGGACTTCATGGCTTCCATGGCAACTATGGGGCTGTCCCAATTAATATCTGGCCCTACCCACTGTGCTGGACACACACTTGACTTGGTCTTCTGTCAGGGCTGGGAAGAAGGTGGCGGTGTGGAGGAGTTATCAATCTCCCCTTTGCCATGGACTGACCACCACCTGATCAAGTTTAGACTTGCTGCAACTTCTAACCTCTGCAGGGGTGGTGGACCCATTAAGATGGTCCGCCCCAGGAGGCTTATGGATCCAGAAGGACTCCTGATGGCTCTTGGGGATGTTTCCGCTGCCTTGGATGGTGATTCTGTCGATGCCCTGGTCGCTCACTGGAATAGGGAGTTGACTAGGGCAATAGACACGATTGCTCCAGAGCGCCCCCTCTTAAGTCGCCGAGCGAAACCGGCCCCTTGGTTCAACGAGGAGCTGGTGGAGCTAAAGCGAACAAAGAGGTGGCTAGAGAGCGTGTGGAGGAAAGAGCCCAGCGAGTCAAACCGAACACGCCTACGCCTCTATCTAAGGGCGTATGGCGCGGCAATAGAGGCCGCGCAAAATGCTTTCTACTCGGCCAATATTGCGTCCGCAAGGAACCGTCCGGCAGAGCTGTTTCGAGTAGTCAGAGGGTTGTTGAATCCCACCTTGAGTGGGTCCCCTGACGACTCGGCAGCGCGCTGTGAAGCATTTGCTCAGTACTTTGCGGACAAAGTCGCTTTGATCCGTGCGGGCTTTGACACCACATTAACTGCAGTCTCTGAGGATGTAACTCAAGCATCTGCTTGTCCAGTTTTGTTGGATTCATTTCGATCTGTTCAACTCGACGAGGTCATCAGGGTTCTTGGAGAGGCGAGGCCTACCACATGCATCCTAGACCCCTGCCCATCCTGGCTGGTAAAGGAAGCCAGAGGGGGGTTGGCAGAGTGGGTGAAGGTGGTGGTGAATGCCTCCCTTCGGGAAGGCAATATTCCGGCCAGCTTAAAGCAAGCTGTTATAAAACCGCTGTTGAAAAAACCATCACTAGACCCCACTCAATTCGTCAACTTTCGGCCAGTCTCCAATCTCCCCTACTTGGGCAAAGTCCTGGAACGTGTGGTGGCCTCGCAACTCCAGGAATTCCTGGTGGACACTGACTATCTAGATCCGTCACAGTCTGGCTTTAGGCCGGGACATGGTACTGAGACAGCCTTGGTCGCCTTAGTTGATGATCTGCGCCGGGAACTGGACAGGGGGAGTGTGTCCCTGTTGGTTCTGCTGGACCTCTCTTCGGCCTTCGATACCGTCGACCACGGTATCCTTCTGGGACGCCTCGCGGGAATGGGTCTTGGGGGTACTGCCTTGCAGTGGCTCCAGTCCTTTCTCGAGGGTCGCTCCCAGAAGGTGTCACTAGGGGACTCTTGCTCGACTCTTCGGCCATTGCACTGTGGAGTCCCGCAGGGCTCAATACTGTCCCCTATGTTGTTTAACATATACATGAAGCCATTGGGAGAGATCATCCGGAGTTTTGGGGTGCGATGTCATCTGTACGCAGATGATGTCCAACTCTATCACTCTTTTCCACCTGCCACTAAGGAGGCTGTTCAGGTCATGAACCGGTGCTTGGCCGCTGTCACGGACTGGATGAGGGACAACAGATTGAAACTAAATCCAGACAAGACAGAGGTACTCCTGGTCAGTCGTAAGACCGAACAGGGTACGGGGTTACAGCCTGTGCTGGACGGGGTCACACTCCCCCTAAAAGCACAGGTACGCAGTCTGGGAGTTCTCCTGGATTCATCGCTGAGCCTGGAACCCCAGGTTTCAGCGGTGGTCAGGGGAGCATTCGCACAATTAAAACTTGTGCGCCAGCTGCGTCCGTACCTTGGGAGGGCTGACTTGGCCACGGTAGTACACGCTTTGGTTACATCCCGCTTAGATTACTGCAACGCTCTCTACGTGGGGTTGCCTCTGAAGACTGCCCGGAAGCTGCAGCAAGTACAACGCGCGGCAGCCAGATTACTAACGGGTGCTGGGTACAGGGAGCACACCACTCCGCTGTTACTCGAACTCCACTGGCTGCCGATTAGCTTCCGAGCACAATTCAAAGTGCTGGTGTTAACCTATAAAGCCCTAAACGACTCCAGCCCTGTTTACCTCTCCGAACGTATTCTCCCCTACGAACCATCAAGACCACTAAGATCGTCTGGAGGGGCCCTGCTCTCGTTCCCTCCGCCTGCACAAGCACGGCTGGTGGGGACGAGGGACAGGGCCTTCTCGATGGTGGCCCCTCGACTTTGGAACTCCCTGCCATTAGAGATCAGAACTGCCCCCTCCCTCATGACGTTCAGGAAACTAACAAAGACCTGGTTGTGGAACGCGGCATTTGACAACTGATTTAATTCTTTGCCCACATGAAAGGAGGATGATGAATGGGATTGTGATGTGTCGGACGATTTGGCTCTTTTAACTGGGATGATAATGTTTTAATGTGTATGGTGCTGATATTTTAATCGTGTAATGAAGTGGCATTGTGTTGTTATTGTATATTTTTTGTATGTTAACACATGTTGTGAACTGGTCCGAATCCCTCTTTGAAGGTGAGAGGGTCGATATATAAAACCTCGAAATAAATAAAATAAATAAATACTAGATCTTATTTTCAGGGGATGTCTTATTTTCGGGGAAACAGGGTATTGATAACCCTTCCTATCTCATATTTAATCCTGTTTTAATGTTTGTATATTTTAAAATTGTTATGTTGATGCTACCCCGCTTTATCTGAGTCCCCTTCGGGGGAGATAAAGCGGGGTAGAAATAAATATATGGCTGTTCCTGGGCCTTGAGGGGTTCTCTGGGTGACGGTGCCTTGATATAATTATTAAAAATAAAGCAGATATATATATATAATGCCAAGCACAAATCAGTTGCAGAATTAAAACACTGTTTTTGCAAGAAAGAAATGCTACTTCAAAATGATAAGCAATATGTTCATGGGTTGATCTGCTGTTTTCCACTTAAGAGACTACATACAGCAAGAAGAAAAATTTTCTTTTGCATTTCTAGTTGGGGCCCTGAAGCAAATGTGTTGCAATAATAATAATAATAATAATAATTATTATTATTATTATTATTATTATTATTATTATTTCATACTGACACAAATGTGCTCTGTTTTGAGAAATGAAGTGAACTTTCCATTCACAAACAAGTCTGGCCCCCCTCTGGCTTTCCCTTGTACCTTACTGTGCTCGGGATTCGGTGGAGGCCCTTCAGCCCTAACGGTAAAACTGTCTGCTGGATCCATGGCTATTCCTGGGCCTTGAAGGGTTCTCTGGGCGACGGTGCCTTGAATGTGTCTCTCCAACACAGAGCTCCTAAAATGGCACAGAACTAGATCTGACTTGTAAACTTTTCTATCCCTGCCAGTCTTTTGTACAGATCCTTTTTGGATCGATTTAATGTAATCTATACCCTGGCATTTTTGTCACAAAAGGTACATAATCTACATTATGTCTGATTTGCTATAATCTTCATATCTTCCTTAATAGACAAGTACTGGTACTACATACATTAACAAGAATGAGTCTTGTGCACAGGAGTGGGGCTGCATAGAGAATTTCTCCTTGAATCTGCGATTCTGAGTTTCTCTTTATCATCTAAACAAAACTAGAGAAGATAAGAACCACATGCTTACCCAATCTATATCTTTATCTAATAAAAGTGAAACTGCATTATTTATTTATTTATTTATTTATTTACAACATTTATATTCCGCCCTTTTCATTCCAAAGGGGACTCAGGGTGGATGACAGAACACATATATGGCAAACATTAAATGCCATTATACACTGACAGGACAGACACAGTACATAGATAGAGGTATATAGGCTTCTCCCATCTTTGGCATCTTGGAGGTTGTGCTCGATTCCGGCCATTTGGGGGGGGGGGGGTACTGTTGCTCCATCCATGCCAAACAGCCCTATTCATAGACTTCCTACTTTGATTGAATCGCCAGCATTTCTCTGGTAGTTCTTTATGGTGCCATTAAAATACCTCTCCGCTTAAGAAGTACCTATTTATCTACTCACAGCTGTTTTCGATCTGCTTGGTGAGCAGTGAGCTGGGGTAAAGGTTGGGTGCTCACCCCTTACCCAGGCTTGTATGTACCTATGTATTTATAGGTTGCTTACCTGTAACCGTAGTTCCCTGAATAGTCACCTGTGAATTCGCACATATGGTTATTTCTGCACCTGCGCAGACCAGCTTTGGAACCTTCCGGAAAGATAAAACAGACATTTTTACCCCTCGCCTCGCCCCGCCCACTCCCTCGAGTATATATAGCCCATGGGCAGGGCTAGCCTCCAGTTCTCTTCCGCCACAAAGCAGCCAGAAGGCAGGGCATGAGGGGAGGATGGGCGGGGATGTGCGAAGTCACAGGTGACTACTCAGGGAACTACGTTACAGGTAAGCAACCTATAATTCCCTGTCGTAGTCAACTGTGAATTGCACATATGGTATATTGGCGAGCTACTAACCTTGGATGGTGGGCGTCATGCCACTGCTGAAAACAGGACTGCTCTTCTGAATTCTGCATCCGTTCTGGAAGCGACATCCAACTTGTAATGGGACACAAAGGTGAGTGGAGTCGCCCACATGGCAGCTCGACACACGGCGTCTAGAAGAACAGCTTTCATGAAGGCTGTCGAAGTAGCCATCACCCTTGTCGAATGGCCCCTTATTTGCTGAGGTAAGTCTCTTCCAGCCAACTGGTAACAGAGGCGAATAGTGGACACAATCCATGATGAAAAACGCTGTGAAGATACTGGCAAACCCCTTGTATCCTTGCGGTATTTCACAAACAATCTGGGAGTCTTTCTAAAACTTGCCGTTCTTTCCACATAAAAAGCGAACACCCTACAGACGTTGAGGAGATGCAGCCTCCATTCTAAGGGTGTTTCAGGGTTTTGAAAGAAGGCAAGTAGCACTAGATCCTGCAACATATGAAAACGAGTGGACACTTTGGGTAAAAAGGCAATATCTGTGCGTAACACGGCCTTGTCCTTATGGAACCTAAGGTAAGGGGGGGGTCCACCCTGAGTGCGCAAAGTTTTCTGGCCCGTCTAGCGGATGTTATGGCTATTAAAAAGGCCACCTTCCAAGTAAGGTAAGGGAGATCCACTGTAGTCAAAGGCTCAAAGTGGGGCTTCATCAAGGAGGACAGCACAACCTCCAAGCTCCATGATGGGGCGATCGGACCGACAGGGGGTTTTATATTGGCAAGTCCCCTGAGAAAGGTTTTCACCAGTGGATCCAAGAAACATGAAGGGAAACCATATTTCCTTCTAAACCAGGAGATAGCGGCGAGGTAACACTTGAGAGAAGAGTGTGAAAGGCCAGAATCAGAAAGGGATACTAAGAAGTCAAGAATTAATGGAATAGGGGCATTATCAGGTTCCTGACCCTTGACCTAACATATTTACAGAAACGAGACCATTTGTAGATATAGGAGTGTTTTGTAGAAGTTCTATGGGTGGCCTCAATAATAGACAAGACGGACTGAGACAACCCAGAGAACGGCGTCAGCAAGCAGGTAAGACTCGCCACGCGGTCAGTTTCAACTTGTGTACTTCTAGGTACAGGACCCTGCCCTGCTGGGACGTCAGAAGGTCCACCCTGTTTCGAAGGCGAATAAAAACGCCCTTCGACAACTGAAGAAGAGGGGAAAACCAAGGCTGTCGCAGCCACCAAGGGGCGACCACAATGCAGCAGGTTTTGTCTCTCTGAATCTTCGCCACCACCCTTAGAAGAAGGGGAAATGGTGGGAAGGCATACATGGGACGAGCATTCCAATCCTGCGGAAACGCATCCCCCAGACAGCCCTCCTACTGGGAGGTTTGTCGACGGGTACAGAACAGGTTGCACTTGGTGTTGGAACGGGTCGCAAACAGATCGACATCCGGGATGCCCCAAGCTAGAAATAATTTGTGGGTCTCTTCATAGAATCATAGAATCAAAGAGTTGGAAGAGACCTCATGGGCCATCCAGTCCAACCCCCTGCCAAGAAGCAGGAATATTGCATTCAAATCACCCCTGACAGATGGCCATCCAGCCTCTGTTTAAAAGCTTCCAAAGAAGGAGCCTCCACCACACTCCGGGGCAGAGAGTTCCACTGCTGAACGGCTCTCACAGTCAGGAAGTTCTTCCTCGTGTTCAGATGGAATCTCCTCTCTTGTAGTTTGAAGCCATTGTTCCACGTCCTAGTCTCCAGGGAAGCAGAAAACAAGCTTGCTCCCTCCTTCATGATCATGCCTTCTAACCCTTCATCTAAGTCATTAATAAAGATGTTGAACAGGACCGAGCCCAGGATGGAACCATGCGGCACTCCACTTGTCACTTCTTTCCAAGATGAAGAGGAAGCATTGGTGATCACCCTTTGGGTTCGTCCATTTAACCAACTACAGATCCACCTCACCATAGTTTTGCCTAGCCCACATTGGACTAGTTTTCCTTGCCAGAAGGTCATGGGGGACCTTGTCGAAGGCCTTACTGAAATCCAGGTACGCCACATCCACGGCATTCCCTGCATCTATCCAGCTTGTAACTCTATCGAAAAAAGAGATCAGATTAGTCTGGCATGACTTGTTTTTGATAAATCCATGTTGACTATTAGCGATGACTGCATTTGTTTCTAAATGTTTGCAGACCCTTTCCTTAATAATCTTTTCCAGAATCTTGCCTGGTATCGACGTGAGGCTGACCGGACGGTAATTGTTTGGGTCATCCTTTTTTCCCTTCTTGAAGATTGGGACCACATTGGCCCTCCTCCAATCTGCTGGAACTTCTCCCGTTCTCCAAGAACTCTCAAAGATGATTGCCAATGGTTCCGAAATGACTTCCCCTCTTGGCTGATCAAGAGCTGCTTGGAAGGTCTACTCGATCCGTTGTGCAGTATAATCAATGGCTCTCTTGAACAGGGGTTTTTTTCCGGACAACCTTAAAGAGGCAAGGGTTCGTCCCTTGTTAAAGAAACCGTCTTGCTATGTCTGAAGTTCACGGTCAGGCCCTTAATTGGTTCAACTCATTTCTCCGGAACCGGAGCCAACGCATGGAGTACATGGATCAAGTCTCTGATAGATCCCCCCTCCTATGTGGGGTCCCCCAAGGTGCAATTCTCTCTCCTCTCCTCTTCAACATCTACGTTAGACCCCTTGCTAGTTTGGCTCGGAGTTTCGGCCTGGACTGCTACCAATATGCGGACAATACCCACCTCCTTCTGCGCCTGGAGCCTGGAGCAACGTCAATACCACACAATTTCACCCTATGTCTGGAAGATCTGTCGAACCGGCTACGTGCTAGCAGACTGAAGGTGAACCCGGCGAAGACTGAGATTCTCTGGCATGGCTGCCTGGCAGGTCTGACTCCTCTGTTGCCCACCTTCGATGGTGCCGCCCTATCTCCATCTCCCACTGTTAAGAGCTTAGGTGTCGTCCTGGATTCGCAGCTGACAATGGAAGCTCAGGTCGCTGCTGCCAGCAAACAGGCCTTTTTCCATCTACGACAAGCGAGGCAACTGGCACCCTATCTATCTGACGAGGCTCTGGCAACTGTCATCCATGCCACGGTCACGTCTAAGCTGGACTATTGCAACGCCCTGTATGTTGGCCTTCCGATGTCTACGACCCGAAAGCTTCGTATCGTTCAGAACGTGGCAGCCAGGTTACTCACAAGAACGCCCATGAAATGCCATATAACACCAGTGCTGCAACATTTACATTGGCTTCCAACTGAGTACCATGGCCTGTATAAGATGCTAGTTCTGACCTTTAAAATTCTTTACGGCCAGGGTCCATCGTACCTTAGGGACCGCCTCTCCTTCTCCCGTCGTCAGAGGTTGCAACGACCAGCCCAACGCGACTTACTCTATATACCGGGTCCTAGAAAAGTACACTTGGAAAAGACCAGACGCAGGGCTTTTTCTATTTCTGCCCCTGCCTTGTGGAATTTCTTGCTGCCCTACATGAGAGCCATGCGTGACTTAGGACCTTTTACTCAAACACTTAAGACCTAGCTTTTTACTAGAGCATTCGATCCTTGTTAATTTTTAATTTTTGTATGTATGTATTTTATCTTTTACAATTTAGCTGTAAATCGCCTAGAGCATTCTCGGATGGAGGGCGATTAATAAGTAATTAAATGATGATGATGATGATGTTGAACAGGACCAGGCCCAGGACAGAACCCTGTGGCACTCCACTTGTCACTTCTTTCCAGGATGAAGAGGAAGCATTGGTGAGCACCCTCTGGGTTCGTCCATTTAACCAATTACAGATCCACCTCACCGTAGTTTTGCCTAGCCCACATTGGACTAGTTTGT